CAGAGTCAGTATCCGAAGATATCTTGTTAACTAGCTCTTATCCAGGCTCCCGATGACATTTGTCCAGTTGGGGACAGTGGTAAGGCAATTACACATCGGCTCTGAAGCGTCGGAATGCTTAAAAATTGACACGAAGCTATGTGTAGAGCATAAGTATGAACAAACTATAACTTGTTGAAGTTCGTTGGTTTTTAACAGCACTCTGGTACAGTACGTATGTGGTAGTGATTTAGGGAAATCAGCAAGCGGAAAGGGCGGAAACAGTTTTTTAAAACGACAATGAACGGAATATCAGGACCACGGCCTTTGTTGGATTTCAGTTTCATGTGTTCCCTTTGGATATCACCGGGCACAGTGATCGTTGGCCAAGTAGACTAAGATGGTTTCCGGAAGATGAGCTACAGAACTCTTAATTGAGGCTACCGAAATTCACGCTTGTGCTGGACTCTACGGCATAGTTAATTTAGGACATGCCAAATTTCCCGGTAGCTTTTTCTCCAGGATAGTTATATTATGTAGACAGTTAATGAGTCAGATCCGCAGTTTACGTGTTTACATACCCATTTTCCAGCACAAAGAAAAAAATCGTTCAGCTATAGCGTCCTTTCGGTGTCTAGCTGCCGTGCCGCACGGAGGCACGAGGGCTGGGATACTCTAGGTCTCCCAAGCTTAGATAGGGGAAGTCGAGAGGCAGAGGTCGAGTTCGAACCAGGGCCCTTCCGGTCAGTAAATTCGCGCTCTAACCACTTGGTCCAACTCGCCCCTCCCCCCAACGCAAAGATAATTACCTGTAGTGACACATTGGGCAGCATGGATGAAGGCGAAATTTCAAGTAGTCCGTGCTGTGCTACAAAAGAATGAGAGCTTCGGAGGAAACAAGATCTCAATTGAAACAAAAGGACAGTTCTGGACCGACTTTGTGGAACACCATGAATCTCCCGGGTAGTTGTTTTTGTTGGTGAGCTTTAGAGTGTATGGTTATCATGGTTATCGTGCAATTTCTGGACAAGGCTTGACCCGTAGAGATGGTTAAGTAAACGAATTCCGAGGTCTTACGGAGAAAAGGTAGGTCTATATTGCAGTTTTAAAGTACTGCCAACGAGGGCATTGTATCCTCAAAGAACTTCGTTAGAACCCACAGAAAACATCGGAACGTACTGACAGAATCGGACTTTGGTCAGCAGTAACCTTAGACGGGAGTAAAATGGGTCTTGTCCATTTCGGTCACCACGCTGAGGGGGCTGTTTTCACTATCCTGTGAAAATGTTTCACACAATAGTGGACTAAACGAAGGCGAAAGTTAAGCTCTGTAGCGGAACAGCGATCCGTTTATTAGAACCGGATAACAATGCTGAGCATCTGCACGAAGTTTCGTTGTCGTCGGCGTATCTGATCATTTGGATTCAAACACTTTGGTGTCGGTCCTGCTCAAGATCTTGTAAATTGCACTAATAAGAATTAGGCACATCCATCATCAACGAGTTCAGCATGAAGTGTTTTATGGTGTATGTCGCATGCAACTCATGGTAACTCATCATGTAGTAAACCGTATTTCGGGAAGTGAGCTCATTAAGTTTGGAAATAATGAGTGGAAGATGATTCAAGGCGAGGAACGATCGTTTTAACAGTTTGCGCTGTTGCTTTTTAATGATTTCCTACTATTGATGCTGTTCTCCTACATTTTCACTTTTATGTCAGAGCACATTACCCTCAGTGAGTAAAACCTGAGGGTGTTTCCACACCAGGGTTTCAACGAATGTGACGCAACTCCACCCACAGGGCTTTTATTGCTTTTCCGCCAACTATAAGCTAGCTTGATATGGTCCTTGTCTTGCACTACAGACACGTCATTGCGACACTGCCATTTGTTAGTGTAGTGAGTGATGCGGCGTTCTGGAAGAAAGCAAACGTGCTTATCTTAGTTCACGAAATACTTATCTAAAAAATACAACTTTTAACACACTATAGACGTTTCTAGTTGAACGAAAACTCGGCTATATTCTCGCGGAACTAAACCTATGAATTAGCAGATACTCGCCCCCGATGTTGATTCAATGTTGAACCTTTGTGGTCCTCTGGTCCAGGAAGCGTTCATTACTGCTTTCATTTGTAACTCAGGATTCGAAACAAAACATACTGCAACGAAGTATTGGTCACTCATGTAAATACGAGCGATAGTAAAGAACTCTGTGTGATATAATGCTCCCGTGGTCTTCATTTGGCTTAGTAATTGACGTTCAAAACTTTTTTTTCAGGAGAACATAACTCAGGGCTTGCCCATCAATTTCAGCGCGTCATAATTTAAATGTGAAACTTTTTTATACTTACGCAGGTCGCTATGCCCTTGTTGCTATCAGACGGATCGGGAACCACCCCATGTGTCATGGAAAGAATTTGACGGCACTGTACACATAGTCACTGTTGAAGGTTTTCCCCTTCATTTATTTTTTCGATCGCGTGCTGATATTGTCGCACGTGAAGGTTGGTATGATTCATACTCACTAGTAGTGACATGAGTGATACGAGGGTGCATGGGGGTACGTATCCAGCGTCTGCTTGCTACAACCGGTTCAGTCTAGTCTGAAGTTAGTTGACAACAATTTTTCGAACCACCCCATCATCGGTTATGAACCCCTTTGAGATTGCCGCGGTTGTCGTGATAAGTCCGTCTCGAGTGGAAACGTCAATGTCTGGATGTCTTTCATAGTCTCGATTTGCATTAGTACAAGCGCGATAGACTGGCTGAAAGTATGTACAGTTTCAGTAAATTCAATCAATTTATCAGCTATAAACTTTGTCCCATACACACATTGGTTCCAGCTGCTACAGCTTCCATCACTGGAAACGGGAAAATGGCATAATTGTTTTGGAACCGTGCACAGCTGAAACAGAGGCAAAAATGACCACGTTATTCGTACAGTTTATACTATTTAGTGCGTGTGCCGGCGAATTGCTTTCTGGACTGTTAAAAATAATTCGTCTTATATTCCATTATCCATTTTGTGGTACTTCCGTTTTTGTTTAGGCAGAAGTTGTCTTGTATTTGCAGTTCAGCCTGAATACCAGGTCCCTGTCTCTAGAATGATCCATAGTTTCCTCAGGTTTAACTGTCGGCAGGCAACTCATTCGGTTGTTACATCTCTGATGAATAGAATTAGGTAGAGGTGGTAAACAGCCGATTGAAGTTGTCTAGTTAATGATTTTCCCTCCAAGCTCTGGCTAACACCAAAAGAAGCACGATTCATGTCCTTATCCACGGATTGATTTTGATGACGCGAGATAGTACCGATAGTCCTCGGAAGGCGTACACACACTTCCTTAAGGGTTTGAATATCCTGCAACATGCATCCCTTATTTCCGTCCGCTGGAAATTGCGATCTATTATATGTGTGTTCTTACAATAGTGTCCCTTCTACTGTAATGGTACTGCTTCATGTATTGGCGCTCCAAATAAGTATATGAAAGAGGTGTTTCACACCCACACGCCACATTTTCGAGAGCTATGAGCCGTATTGTGAGTGTGCATGGTTTATGTTGGTACATCGTGTAGGTGATGAAAGTGACGAGGCGCTAGCAGTTACGTGCTGCCACGAAGTCATTTTCAGCGCTAATGACGATCCGCGCTCTACACGGTGGTCGGTACGTTCCGTGTACGGCACAGCTGTCAGCTTTTGTGGTCAGTTTTGTCCCCAGTGGTTTACTTATGTGCACGCATCTTATGCATTCGATCCTGTGTTTGCTTGCTTGCGCATCCGTGCCCGCATTCTCGTTTGCGCAGCTCTCATGTGTCTTTCGCGATAGCCTAACGATTTGTGGGAAAAGATACTCCATTTTTGGACATCAATCTATCAATCAACCAACCAATAAACAAAACGGAAGCGGTGATTCGTCAACACAACTTTTTCATTGTTATCCCACTGTTTAATTTACCGGTACCGACAGGCCATTACTTGGCGCACATTTTTAAGACCATGTCCGATTGGATGGGAGTTCTGGGTTTTACTGATTGTTTCGGTTTGATAAATTTTGCGCACAAAAGCCACCATCAGTTGATTCCTTTCTTCCGCCCCTGTACCCTATTTGGAACTATCCCATTTTGTAGCTTCTTCCCTGCTATTCTTCTCCATTAGGTCAGTCGTTTTCATTGAAGTTCACGGATTTTGAAGCGTCAAGCACAAATTATAGATTACATTGCCCAGTCGAACAAGTTTGAGAGAATTAGAAACGTTTGTAGAGACAATGGATACGGAAGTTACTTTTTCAACCGTTCTGTTTTCCCTAATAGTCAATTTTACGAAATACTACCTAATAGACCAGTGGAGCTATTCACGTTAGGAAAGCACCAAAGTGGACAGTCTAAGTGACAGTACCGACGCTCTAGCCCACGAAGCTCACCATAAAGCCAAGGTGTCCATTAAAATTAGCCAGTTCGTGGACTTCATTACTACTCAGCTGCTCGCATCAGCCAGCACCAACCTGTGTTGCAGAAAATCGGCACTCATGAAGACAATCAGTTGGAACACTGTTTCAGCGGTAATGCACATTGGAAGCTTTTCCCACTCACGCTTGAAATTCTCGTGGTTTGAGGCTTGTGTTATGAGTGGGCATACAATGATATCGAAGGGATAATGTTGTAGATGGATGGTAAATGCCAGAATTTCAAAAGATCTCAGATCACGGTGACAGTTTTCAGCCTTATGTTTATATATATATATATATATATATATATATATAT